TGCTTTTGTAACACGGCCAAACAATTATCGCAAAATATTTTTAGGCCAATTTTAATGAGTTATAGAGACGTGAACTGTTTACCCGGAATATGAAATGGCACAAAAATATACATGCCAGACGATCATAAAAAGCGGCAAAAGCAGCATTTTGCATTCCCGGAAAGTTGCTTCAGTTCTGGAGCTCTCTCTGCTCTAGAAGTTCCCGTTTTCTCTACTCGCTACTCAAAATAAAAGAGCCTAACTATGGCTTTCCTTTTGTAAAATACATATCAAATGAAAAGATTTTTCCTTTCTGAAATTCAATAGTTTTTTTCTGAAGAACACAACTTGAACCTAAAAATAAAAACCAAAAGTTAATTTCTAAAAAAAAAGTTAAATGTCTAAAATCTAATAATCAGGCAAATTATTTAAAGCCTGCTTTTAATTTATTTTGTATTTCCGCGTTTTCCGAGTGTAGCTACACATGTATGTCTTGAGTCTAACGCTAATCCGGCCTGCTTAGCGGTTGCCTAATCTTAATCCCAATAGGAACTTGTGCGTCCAGGCTCAAGCTAATCCTCAGACGCTGCTTCCGCGCTTGCTGACGTCACACGCTGGCTTAATTAAATCACATGGATTAGCTTGAGCCGAGCCCACGACCGCGTGCTCGAAGATTCATTCAAGCTCGCGCTCGACTTGCCGCCTAACCCCTTGCCAAGATGCTGTCTGTGTGTCGTGCGCCTGGCTTGTGCCTGCACCCAAGCCTCTTTCTGCTCGCCCCTCGACAGCGCAATCAATTTGATATCAAACGGGCGGCGCCGCAGCCTGTTGAACTGTGCGCCCTAAGGAAAAAACTGAGCTCCGATCGTTTTTAAAGGGATGCTGCGGCTGTCAGCGCCAGTTCAGCGGGATCAGAGAGCTTGTTTACACATATGCAAGAGGCAAGAGCGACTGCCACGCCCCGATAGTTTTAAATTACATATCTCTCTCTTTATCTTGGAGAGGCACATTTCCTGGAAATGCTTGTGCCGGAGCTCAGCTTTGCTCAGCTTAGCTGAAGTCCTTGTAATTTCCTTCACATGCGGGCCGCAAATTCAAGTCCTGGCCTTAAGCCGCGCATCATTAGAGCTGAATGCGAAAGGGTAGCTGGTTTTTCGGCGCATTAAAAAGCGGATTTGAATAAATGCCAAGTTCCGCAACTCTAAAATAATATAAAACTCAAGATTGCGTGGCTTAGCCTCGGCTAGTCTTCATTCAGAGAGGAAGACGCGTGCTCAGCCCGGTCCAGCGCTAAGCTCCAGGATTAGGGCAGTCCCTAATCAGCCTGCTTTGCATGGCAGTTCATTAAGCGCCGTCACTGCTCTCTCTCTCTCTCTCGCTCTGCTTGCCTGGCCACATAGCTCATCAATAGCAATTCGATTTGTCATGTTTATTGTCATCATGAACATTATCAGCACATTATCGATTGCTCGATTGACTATAAATCAGCAAACCCTCTCGGCTCGATCGAGTGTTACAAATAGCTAAAAAATTTGTGGGCAACACACGCACACGCGCACAGATCGCATAGCACTCAGGGCGCGCACCCTGGTCTACCCCTAACCCTATGCCTAACCCTAGCCCATGGCTTTCACTTTCGCTCTTCCCCTGACGCTCGCCTCGAGCGAAATATTTGTAAAAAATTTGTCGTTTTTTTGGGTTGAAAAATTGCTGAATTTTTTGTTTGGTTTCTGGCTTTATGTGCATTGTTTGTTAGCGGTAGGGTTATGGTTACATCAGCTAATGCTGGCAACAGCTGTAATACGAGACTGGACACATGCCATGGCTATAGAAAACTTATAGTTGGGCGCATAAAACTAGTGCAGCTGCAGGCAAAGAGTTGTCAATATGCTGGTTGAAAGGGTAGAAAATCGCTGCAGTTGGCTTGAAGAAAGCGAAAGTTTTTATACAATTTTGATTGATCAAAATATATGTAGGCTCATGCTAGAGGTATTTCGAGAAATGAACGTAATCTTAATATGTATTTTAGAAGCATTAAAGAAGGAACTGATTATATGCTCAAGCATAATTTGTATCTCCTAAAGTCAATGAGCTTTCATTTTGATTGATACTGATTTCTAATACTTTTCAACGGCTTGCATATGGTTTATTTACATTGCTATGTAAAATTAAGCTTTAGGAAGTCTTAAAAAGCTGAACACAATGTTGGCTCTATATATATATAATAATGAGGTTACATTTAATCAATCAATCAATCAATGTGCTTTAATTTTTATTGATAATGTTTTCTAATACTATTAAACTTCTTCCATTCTCATTTCTATGTTACATTAAGCTTTTACATTAGAAAATCTTAAAAACTGATCAAAATGTTGGTTTAATATATATATGAGTGAGTTTACATTCATTCAATCAATCAATGTGCTGTAACTTTTTTTACAATATATATATATATATATTTTGGTTTTCAAAATGGTCTAGAATAATCTTTTGCTCAATCAACATGCAAATAGGCATATTCGATAAGTTTCTTCAGTGATGAACTGAATATTATTTTAAGCTATCAACAATTCAAAGTACAATTTGTGCGTAGGCTGGCTTATAAATAGTATTCAATGTCGTGTGCTACGCACTAATTACAGCAATTAAAGTTGTCTTAGGTTAGTACCAAAATTTTGATAGCACTACGCACTATTTAACGCGCCAGTGCCCCACATTTGATAGACTATAGATGTCATGTAGCACGTGCGTGTAGACCATCTCTCTCTCGCCCTGAACTGTTGCTCTTAACTTTCTCTTGACAACCGGCAAAGCGCTGATAATGGGTTGCCAAGTCTGACATTGTGTTATCAGCAAAGACCGGATCTTAATGAAGAGACAGCACTAAGTAGCTGAGCCAACAGCTGTTATCAACACACGATTATACTGACTAATCCAAAATAGTTTCGCTTAGCTGAAAACCAGCAGAAAGGGTATCCAAATATCTTTATCAAGAGCCAAGTCGAGCTACTCGCCAAAGCCTCGCTGCTGTTGTTTTTAATGTTTTCTGCGTATTTTGGTTTCCCGGCAAAAATCATATCTGTTTGACTAATCCGTCGGGAATTGTTTTAGTTTTGCCGTTTTACGTAACATTATGCAGAGCAAATGTCTCGATGTAGACGGACAATGGTCCGTTTTTGCCATTGTAGTTTTCACTTTCGAAAATTACAAAATTTCCACGGTAGTTCAATGTTGACCGAAATTAACATCCCGTCGCGTTACGGTCGCGTCCTTGGCCTACCTAACGGCATGTCCTCATCTAACTATATGTATTTATGCATGTTTTCAGCTGAACTTGCGCATGTCCTGGCCATAAAAATCTACATAAAACCATTTAAAAGTCAATCCACAAAAGTCAGCAGCGCGACGACCAAAGAAGAAAATCTTTGAAACTGTTTTTTAGCAAGGGTTTTTGTGCAAGTTTTTTGCTTGTTTGTCATTTTTTGTAGTTCTGTTACCTGTTTTTAGTTTTTATTTTAGCTGTTGCTCTTTTTTATGATTTGGTTTTTTAGACGTGTGCCGGCAATTAGTTGGCCATTAAGCGTGGCTCATTCAGGAACTTGACTCAACTCAACAGGCTGCTTAAAAAACTCACTCACTCGTTTGCCCCTTCGCTTAACTTTCACTTGGGCTTCGCCCCCTTTTGAGTGGCGTTCGTTTCGTTTTGTTTACTTCCTGTTTACTCTTACGGCGCACGCTCCCAGCCAACCCCGATCCGACCGGTCCCTGGCCCTAACCCCACACTCCGCCTTTACTGCTGGTGACTTTTGGCGTTCGCTCTCGCTCGCTCGCGCGCTCGCTCAGGCGCTCTTTATCATCCCCCTTTGCGCACTTTGAGCACTTATTTTTTTTTGTTTTCCTTTATGTTCAAAGGGGAAGTCTCTGACATGAGTTAATTGCTGCAGTTTGAGTGCTTTTTTCGTATACCCTAACCCAAATGTTTTGAACTTTAACTTAAAATGGTTGAACAAGTGTTTATTTTTTTTTGCAATTGCCTTTTTTTATGAAGGCTCTAAAAAACGGAAGTGCGCGCTAGTTTTTTTAAAGGATCACATAGGTAGCAAAGTTTTTTGAGCTGCTTGTAAAAAACGCCTCGGTCATAAAGCCATAAAAGTTTTTACGCCCGCCGCAAAAGGTTTTTGTTATTTTTTAAGACATTTGGTTAAAAGTCAACTTTTGTCGGTTTTAAAAAGAAATTAGTTTCGTTCTAGAATTGAGATTTGCACGGAATAGCAGCTGTAGCCCACTCATTCTCACTCGCCCTCTCTCTCCCTCTCTCTCTCTCTCTCTCTCCCTTTCACATTAATTTGCATATATGCAGCATCAGAAATTGTTTAGGTAAAACAACAACAAGGAGCGCGAAGCAAAAATAAAAAAAAAAGAGCTAAGGTATTTTTGAGCTGTGCTCAGTTTTTTTTTACAACCTCACACACACACACATACTCGCATGCTCGTAAAGGAGAGCACGTTACCTGCTTTGATCGGCAGCGCGTTTCGGGTTTCGTTGTTCGTTTCGTTCTGTGTCGTGCTTCCTCCCTTTGGCTGGCTATCAATGTGCGTGAGCGAGCGAGTGAGTTGCTGCTGAGTGAGTGAACGATTGAGTGCGTGCGTGTATGCCAGTGTGTGAGTGCGAGTGTGTGTATGCCATGCAGAGAGGGTGAGCGTGCGAGCGTACTTATAGTAAGCGCACGCGGCGAATTCGTATCATTCGTGATTTGGCTCTGACAGTGAGAGGAGCACAGTTTTTGATGCCAAACAAACACACTCGCTCGCACACAGACACTCACACACGCACGCACTCCCGCTCGTACACACTCACGAGGCAAATTTGTTGCTTCTAAAGGATTTCCACAGCGCAAAGGATACTCTCTACTCAGCTCAATATAAAAACGTGTTGCAGTCAGTCGCTTCATATCATTTCTCAGCGACAACTCGTCACAGTCACAACTCAAAAACTTAGTTAAAAAATATATATAGAAAGAAAATTTGTTGTGTCTTAACGATAAAAAAGAAACGCGAGAACCAACAACAAACCAAATACCTCAACAAAATAGAAAAAAAAATCAAAGTTAATAATTTACATAAGAATAAGAAATTATAATTGCAACTACCTCATTTTGTATACCGTGAACTTTTGTAAACTGTGCAAAAACTACCTCAAAGTACAAAACACACACACACACAATCCCAACCAAAAAGTGCGCGAAACTATATAAAGTTAAAAAGTTTATAAATAAAACGCAGCTCAAATGAAAATTTGTGTTCAGAACTGAAGAAAAACAATTGAAGTGAAATTGTAAGCAAAACGCTTGCAATTTAATTTGCAAGGACAACAAACACACAACACACACACACATAACAAACACAGTTATGGCTATATCAATGCTGCAGGACGCGCAGACACGAAGTAAGTAAAATATTACAACTAAGTGTGCAAATTAATAAAAGTATAGAAACAGTTTAGGCAAGCTCTCAAAAGGAATAGTTTTATATTAATATAAACAGAATACTATAATATAGGGAATATTATTAGAAGCTCAATTCAAAAACTCTTAATAATTTCTCAAATTTTTTGCTAATGCTTGCTTAGCTAAACTTTATACTTTCTTAGAAATATACAGCTTTTTTGTATGCATTTAAATAAAGGGATAGAAACACAGTTAATAAAATCTTCAAAATTAAGAACAATTTTAAAATGTCTTACTTAAACATATTTTACAAATATTTAAAAACAAGAATCGTCCTAAAAAGTTGTTTGCGTGCTTTTAAATGGTATGCAACATTTAGGAATCTTCATTTTTATCACATTATCTTAAACCAAGATTGGCAGAGTCTGAAATAATTTTGAAACAAAAGTTTCTTAAAATTTGTCTTAAGATAAGACTTAATTATCCAGAAAATGCAGACAAATTGTGGTTACATTTTGCGAAATTCAAGCTTGCATTTGGAAAGCACTCGCTGTATTCTTAGTTCTGAATGTTTCCTGCATAACATGTTTTTTCATAACATATTAAAGCTCGCATTAAAGCACTGCGGCTCACACGCACACACGCACACACACATGATTAAGCACGCACAGCAATAACGACGTCTCAATGTGCTTGAGTTAACATTAGGCGCCATTTTGCCAAATGCTCAACACACACACACTCACGCATACACATGCAATTAAGTTTTGTTTACAAGTTTTTTTTTCGCCGGCATTTAACTCGTTTCACGCCCACCAAAACAAACGCCAGAAAGAGTGCGAAGAGAGAGAGAGAGAGAGAGAGAGCGAGAGCACGCGTAAAAGAGAGTGGCTGCCACCACACACAGACAAAAGCTCACACATATGTTACACATGTGACGCTCTTAAACGCGCGCGCTCTTACTCTCTTTGTAAAGGTTCAAACTCCCCGCTTCCCGCCCCTACAACTATGCCAATCACACGTGCTGCTTTGAACCTTGAACAAAAAGTTAAAAAGTTGTGTGTGCTTCTCGTGCTTGCCCCCGCCGCGGGCAGCTGACCAAACTGTTACTGACAGCTCAGCGGGTGAGGTTGAGAGGTTGGAGAAAATAATAGAAAATAGAAAATTAGGAAATTTTGCTCTACTTTATATTTTGATTATTCGCCTTGCTAACTAGCCACACTTTTTGTTGCTTGCTTTTTTCTTTAGGCCTGGCCGCTGCCTTGGCTGGCATCAAGCGCGAGGACATGGTTGTGGATCGCTCCATGTCGCTGTCGCCGCCCATGTCCGCCAATACCTCGGCCAGCAGTCCGGTGGCCTCAAACAATGGCCTCAACTCGCACTCGCTGTACCCGTCGATGGGTCTGCAACAGGCTGCGGCCGCTTCCGCCTTTGGCATGCTGTCGCCCACACAGCTGATGGCTGCCAATCGCCAGGCGGCTGCCTTTATGGCCCAGCTGCCCATGAGCACGCTGGCCAACACTCTATTTCCACACAATCCAGCGGCGCTGTTTGGCGCCTGGGCGGCACAGCATCAGCAGCAGCAACAGCATCAACAGCAGCATCAGCAGCAGCTGCCTTTGGCCGGCACCCATTTGCACTCTCCGCCCGCCAGCCCGCACTCGCCGCTGGCCAACAGCGGCAAGCATCCGCTCAGCTCGCCGAACAGCACGCCGCAGCAGCATCATCATCTGGGCTTGGGTCTGGGTGAGCCCGTCAAGAAGGCGCGCAAATTGTCGGTCAAAAAGGAATTCCAAACGGAGATTACCATGAGCGTTAGCGATTTGTATCACACGCCCGGCGGGCCCATTTCACCGCCCAGCAGCGGCAGCTCGCCAAACTCCTCTGCCCATGAGGCCACATCGGGTGTGACAGCAGCAGCTGCTTCAGCCGCCACTGCCGCTCCCGCCAAGGATCCGTCACGCGACAAGAGCTTCACGTGCAAGATCTGCTCGCGCAGCTTTGGCTACAAGCATGTCCTCCAAAACCATGAGCGCACCCACACCGGCGAGAAGCCGTTCGAGTGCCCCGAGTGCCACAAGCGCTTCACCCGTGACCATCATCTGAAGACGCACATGCGCCTGCATACGGGCGAGAAGCCCTATCACTGCTCCCACTGCGATCGCCAGTTTGTGCAGGTGGCCAATCTGCGGCGTCATCTGCGCGTCCATACCGGCGAGCGGCCCTACACCTGTGAGATTTGCGAAGGCAAGTTCAGCGATTCGAATCAGCTGAAGTCCCATATGCTGGTGCACAATGGCGAGAAGCCGTTCGAGTGCGAGCGCTGCCACATGAAGTTCCGTCGGCGCCATCATCTGATGAATCACAAATGTGGCATTCAGTCGCCACCGACGCCCGCTCTCTCGCCGGCCATGAGCGGCGATTATCCTATGGCTGCAGCGGCTGTGGCAGCGGCTGCCGCTTTGGAATGCTCCACCAACAAATTTGCGGCCATGTGCGCCAGCTACGGCGGCTCCGAAGAGTCCGTGGACCTGGCTAAGAGCAGCCTGGATGAGGAGGCACCGCTCGATCTGTCCGAGGATGGCGCCAGCTCTGTGGATGGCCACTGCAGCGGCAGCAATGCGCGCCGCAAGGCGCAGGACATACGCCGCGTATTCCGGCTGCCACCGCCACAGATCGTGCACGTGGCCAGCGACATGCCCGAACAGACCGAGCCCGAGGATCTGAGCATGCACTCGCCGCGCTCCGCCGAATCGCAAGAACAGCACGAGGACATCGATCTCGATGAGCTGGACGATGCAGCTGCTCTCTACCTGCGACAGCAGCAGCTCCAGCACCATTAAAGTAGGAAACTCGCTCTCTATGGATAATGGAAGAATTTGTATATATGGTTCAGAGTGCCGGCGATCATCAGATGAGGCTGGCTAAGAGTTTACGTACAGGAATTTATGTCAAGTACAAGTAGCTTGCAAAACAAAACAAAACAAAAAAAAAACCAACCAAACTATGAAAAATTTAAATAATTTTTAGTCATTTAGCAAATAACAAACGCAGATTGCACATAAATCAAAAAGCTCCAAAAAATTGTACAAAAAACACGTTAAGCTAAGACAAATGTTAGGCCATAAGAAAACTCTCACCCAAAAACAAAAACAAAAAAACGTAACCCAGCTAATGTTGTGCCATTCTCAAAGCCTAGTTTTAGTTATATTTAGTTTAAAAATAGTCCTCGGTTGTTGTCCAGTAATTGTATATAGCCAGCGTTTGCAGCTGCCAATTGTAAATTATACAGCGCTCTCCTCCACTTCCCAAAAAAAAAAAAACCCTTAAAAACCAAACAAAAACAAATCAAAAAAACACATTTTAGTTATTGTTTAGTCTAATTTGTACGCATCTTTTGATTATTCTCAAAGAAAACGCCAATCAACACAAAAATCAAAACTAACTTTAAGTTATTAACAAGAAGAAAGAGTATAAAACAAATAATAATAAATTCTTTATACGTAATGCCAATTGTTTTGTTTGCCATAAATTATAAATTTAATTATTTTATTTAAACTAGCCAGTACGTTTTATTGCATGAATCTCGTTTTATTGAAAGCATTTATTATCATATATGTCAACATGATTCTTACTATTAGTAATTTTTTTAGTCTTCTATTTAAATTGTATTTAATGAAGCCCCGCCAAATGTTGCCGCGTGCTGTGAGGGGCATGTTGCGAAAATAAAATTGATAAAAGTCAGCGAAAAATATTTTTTGTTCTTTTTATTTCACTTTTAAGTTTAATAATCAAAATTGCCTTTCAGTTCTTTGGAAAATATTTCAAATTATTGACATTTCTTTAACATTTGTTTAAAGTTATCCGTTTAAAAATATTATTAAACTATACATTTTTCACTTTATTTTGAGTTGCAAAATCTTCAAAAAAATTCTTCCAAAAATATTCTTTTGCATATTTTTCATATAATATTTACACATTTATTTGCCTGTATTATCCACCCACTTCCATTTCCACTTCCACTGATATTATATATATAACATATAGCTCAAAAAAATAAAATATATATATATATATATATAGTCTAAAACTAGATTGTTAAGTCGTGAACCAAGTAAACAGGAAGAACTACTATAACCGAATACCTCCAATACCTCTATGTAAAAAACGATTTGTTGTGATTGTCATTAAGCAACTCACACACAAAGCTGAACACACTCACACACACACACACAAATGCAGAGTTCATAAATAGCATACTCACATATAGAGCGATATATATATACTAACAATAACTACAATTTGGGCAATCGTACAATTCAACTGAATTTATATACAAAAACAAAAACCAAAAAACAAAGTGGAGCTATGTAAACCGATAAACAATATCGAAAGTTATATATATATATAGCAATTTTTATGCATATTTTTTATGATCTAAGCATAACGAACGATTTTCCAAGCATTTAGTATACATATTAACCTAGACCTAAGTGTACATATACTAGTAGCCTAAGCTGTACATATTTACTCAAAGAACAACTTACACTACAGCATAATTTTAGTGCAATCTTTGGTTTCGATTTAATTTAAATAACAAAAAAAAAAAAAAAACCAAATGCAACAAAATATTGTGTAATTTTCTTTGTTCATTCAAGTGTATGGTATACAAGTTCCTCAAGATTAAATAATTACAAAATAAAAAACCGAAATAGTTGAACGCATCTCGAGGCCCGCAAACTTCGGCCTTTGAGAATCTGCGCATTGTACACACACATACTCACACATGTTTCATATGAATTATGTATATGTATATTTAAATATATTACAAAGAATATCTTAATCTAAGTGTATAAATATCGTCTAAATTATAAATCTATATGCACGTAAAGTCAATTTAACTGTAAATACTAATGTGTACTCTATATTATTACGCTCAATATTTAATGTGCAATATATAGTCCAAAAGTTCTGCACTTAAAAACTAACCTTAAAAAAGAAAAGTAACAAAAAAAAAGCAACTAGCAAAATTCATAACTAATAATTCTTAATTATTATATGACTTATATAAACATTATTATATGTAATTATAATCTAACTTAGGCATGCCCTGCTTTGCATATTTGATTTTCTAGTTTATTGTTGTTGTCTTTTCAAGCATTTTAAATATTATATAAATATTATATAACAAAAAAAGCAACATAAAAAAAATGATTCATTAATTTTTAATGCTAAACCAAAAATGAAAACCTCAATGTACGAGTATTTATTATGTTTATGGCGAATTGTGTGAATACAAAAGCGAAATATATATTACAATATTGTGTTAAAGCCGCAACGTTTTTAATCAATATATGTAGGCACCCAGCCCGCCCACCTACCCCACCGAAATTAGCCCCACCCCCGCATCCCTCACCGCCCATCAAGAACCAAGCGACAACGGGCGACATTATATAAATTTTTAATTTATGCAAACGAAGCCCTTTCGCATTATTTTACATTTGCCACGAGACGCCCCACTAATGTTGTCGCCGCAATGGCACATGCCATACACCCCCGGCCCACTCACCCCTTGGGCCAAGCGCCAACCCCAAACTTCGCCGTTTTGAATTTTTGCGCCGCGCGGCAGCTGAGCGCAAAACGTGAAAATATACATATACATATATATATATACAAATAAAAAACCGCGCCGCGCGCGCAGCCAGAAAATGTCACAGTGTTTTCCCATTTAATCTTCAGCGAGCAAACAACAACAACAGCGGCAGTCCACCCCCACGAAGGCCCCATCCAGTCCCCATCCTTTCAGCCAGCAACGCGACGCCTCCTTTCTTTGTGCCCCTTTCAACGGCAGGCGGCAGCAGCAGCAGCAGCCGAAAAAGGCTTCGTTCTATGTACAAAATGGCAGCATGTAATACATAAAAAGTCGTCTTACATAGCACGAGGCATTCTCGTTCTGCTCCTGCTCCAGCTCGAGCTCCTGCTCCTGGTCCTGTTGCTCCCACTCTTCTGCATTGGGGGTAGTCCTGTGCTGCTTATTAGCATTTCAGCCTTTCTTCGCTGAGCGGCAGCGTTGCCTTTCGAGTAAATGATTTAGACTTGGGTAGCCAGAATTTTTTGCCAAATGAGTTTACGAGTGTTTGGCTGTCAGGATTTGAATACCCTCTAAAAGTAACTATAAAGGGGTGTATTAACTATTTATAATACATTTTTATATTTTTATTTTAATTTTTAATAAACCTTCTCTTGTCTTATTGCCGTCCTTATACAATACTCTATGAGAGTGTTCTCTGTAAAATTAACAATAAAGGGGTATATTACATATTTATAATAAATCTTAATATCTTTATTTAATTGGGTAAGAATTTTCATAGGTCTTGTCTTGCCGTCGTCCTTTTATAAATGTCTATTTATAGGGTATCTCGCATTCGTGTACACCTAAGCACATATCTCGTTTTACTTCAAATTACCCCATATATCGGAATTTTGGAGTTAAGATATCTAAAGGAGATTTAAGGGGCATAAAAAATTAGCAGGGTGTCCAAGTCAATGATGTATATACCCTGTAAAAAGTTTCTTTAAGATATGTGAGATTAATTAAGCAAGAGCTTAACAATTTTAGAATTAAGGCACATATATAGGAGTATATATATGTATATATAGATTTTTTGAATTTTTCAAAGCAGATATTCTTTAGGAAAAGGGTATATTCTAGTCGCACCCATTAGCTGCTGTTGCAGCCCCATAAGAAAGAATGTGTAAAGGCAGTTGAAATAAATTTTAAAGGCTTCTTCTTCTTCGTTTTTACAACCAACCGCCGAGCGCTGCTCATTATTCAAATTGAAAAATTATGATTTGCGCCCAGGACTTGAAGTCCGAAGTTCGCGTCCAGCGAAACAAGCGATTCTAATAAGCTGCCTCAAGTGCAATAGACTCTAGAGTGGAGTGGGCAGTGTGGCAGAGGGGGGAGGCAGGAAAGGGAAATGGGCATGGCCTTGGCAGTAGGGCAGCTGATGCCGCATTGGCTGCCGCTTTCATTATCCTGCGGCCATTCGCCTCAATTAAATGGGTAAAATTATGAGCCTTATTAATATGGCTAGAGTCGTCCTTTTACGGTGGGGTTCACTTTAGTAAGGTTGGGCCTGTGTAGGCGTAGAATTTTGGGTAGATTTACTTAGCTTAGTTGATATTGAGTACTTGCAGTTGGTGGCGTTTTCAGAAGCTCAGCAAAAATTAAAAAAAAATGGGAAATTATGTTTAAAGTAAGCTTAAATAAAGTTCAATTCCAAATTGGAGTATTAGATAGAATAAATATTATTAGTTTTTAAAGTTACATGAAAATATCTTTAAAATATAAAATTCATGTTTAACAGAGGCTTCTAATATAATATAATTATTAAGTTGGCTTTTACGTTAGTTTCTTTGCTCTTGCATTAAATTTCAATACTTTTTTTTATCTATATTTATAACGTGATGCATGCGTATGCATTAATATTTCTTCAAATGTCTTTTAGATTTTCTTGTGTTTTTCTTTTTGTTTTATTTAATTATTATACAGTTATGTCTAACATAATAAAAATATTAAAAAAAATAGGTTGTTATGGAAACCGATCTGAGAGACCGATTGTATGAGACCTGCGCAATCTCCCCATTCGGACTCCTCCAATTCTATGTCTCTTTAAAAGACGCATAACGAAGGGCTTTTAGCATCAACCCACTGAGTAACTATTGCCACGGGATCTATTTATATTTTTTCATTCTATATCTTAAATAAGTTCCTCACAAATTCTCAAACCTATTAAAAATCCTTACGTTCGTCTCCGCATAACCTTTTAATAGAGTTCAAGCATTGTGAAATTTGTAACAAAAATAGTGAAGCGCTGAGGGGCGTATAGGGCATCAATCAAATGCACACACACAAAACTAATTGCAACAGGATCAGTGCAGAGCAAACAAAGGGTTATCGCCAAAGGAGAGAAGAAAGAGAGAAGAAGCAGAGTAGACGGCAAATGCCGCATGAATGAACACAAACTGAAGCCAATTGATGTGGCTGTTGTTTGATCCTTAGCCTGGTCCCTTAGCCCCCCTCTGATGCGCAAAGGCATGCAAATTTTTGGCAAATACACATGCACACACACACACACATACTACACACACACGCACACACACTGCTACCACAATTAACCGTGGGTAGGTAGTGGCAGCTCTTGAGCTGTAAGCGATGCCCGTTCTCAATTACCAAAAGGCATTGCGAATTTTCTTGGCCACACAGCAGGCCGCACATAGAGAGAAAGTGGCTGAACTGTC